ATCCTTGGACTGAGTCCAATCGGACTCAGCCGTTTTAATACATTCCGGCTTATCTAGGACTTATTGCTGCCAAGCGATCCTTATTCGGCTGAAAGCCAAGCATCTCTGTTTAATTGATTTCTAGATTAGGCTTTTAGCTTGGATGGATTGCCGTATATATTCAACCATCAAAGCCAATATATATATAAAAAATAATCTGGCACATTGTTAAATAAAGTGGGATTTTTAAAAAGCAGAACCTACTTTATGGATCCAGACGCAATTGCCATGCTTTGGAAGGATCCAGCAGTCTATTCCCAACAATGACAACACTAATCAGAAGCTTCTTTGTGCAGCGGTAGGAACCTTGAAACGAAGTGTTGCATATGTGTAAAAACTTTAAGAAAAGGAGGATGGGGGGGAAAACCGGAGTGTTGATTGAAAAGAAAGAAGGCAGGAGGGCAAGCAGAGGATCTTCAAGAGAAGGTGGCAGGGGTGTTGGAGTGATGCATGGATCAAATCACAAATATTTGCATTCCTGTGGTTAAAAAATCTGCAAAGAATTGCATCACGGTGGAGTCCAAAAAAAAAATAAATAAAAAATGCTCGAACAAGTAAATCTATCATCTCCTCCACTCCTTAATTAAGATGCACATCTCTTAGGCAGCTAAAAAATTAATTACCCTGAATGCCAGCAGATTTTTAAAAAAACATTTTATTTTCTTTTTTCTTTTTGCTAGAGGGGGAAAAAGCATTTTGGAGACTCAATCTGTCAAAGATAGGTTCTAAATATGTATATTGATGAGAAAGGTAAAGGTAAATCAAACAAGGGCCAGGAAAAGCCAGAAAGACTGCCCACATCCTTTATGTATATTTACTCAAGATTGTCTTGTTTCAAACCCCTCTACTGGGATTGAACTCCTAAGCGTTGTAGAGTGCACCTAGCTTTACAACTTTAAAGCCACCCTAGTTTTGTCAGATTATACCTGGTAATAAATCCTAATGAATTCAATGTAATTAATTCTCAGTAGACACGCCATTAGTCTTGTTAAGTCCTGCCCAGATGGAGTCAATTTAACCTGTAGATGAAAGAAATTTTTCAAGCTTTTTGGGGAAGCATATGTATGCTTTCAAGGAAGCAAACTTGACAAATTGTTTTTTCCTAGATCAATGTATGTGGTAGTGATGAGGAAAGTGCTGACTGGAGTACTAAGAAATGATCTGTCAACATCATGCAACTCTAAAGCTTGACGTAACATTAGTGTCCAGCACAGACAGTTTGGATTGGCTTCATGCTTTTCACAGACCACCCTTCTATTCTTGATGTATGCATTTTCATTTCCATTTTACCTGCACACTTGGCTTGGGCAGGAAAGAAAATATGTTCTTTCCTAGGCTTTAAATATTGATGGAAATGAGTACATCAAGTTGCCAATGGCACCCAAGCATGGAGTATTTAAAGCTTCTCCTCTACTCACTGCAATTCAGTGAATGAGGCAGGAACATATATGTATATATAACAGACCTGCCATATCTGGAAAAAAAAATTAAAAACCAATTATTTCAGAAAATTATCCTTAAGATGGTGCATACCTCTTGAGGCAAATTCATTTTTTTTAAAAAAATCACATATTTAAATTTTAAAAAAATTCTAGGACCAAAATGAGGTACGTATTTGAGGAAAGAACTTTGCTTATAGAAGTAAACTTAAAACCATTGCAAGTAATCATTTACAAGGTTTTAACACCCTAAGTATGATAATTTTGCTCTTGTGCAACCCTGAATTTTTTTTAAAAAAATAAGAATTTGGGGTTAGGGGATAGTTTCATATTATGTTTTAATAACCAGTGTGAACTAGGTAATCGGAATCAGTAATTAAATCATTTTGTTTCTTTTTGTATCAAGAAACCTTGATAGGGTGATTTTATTTTTATATTTTACAACATATTGTGCACATATGTATAGCATTCAGCATGTTAGCAAGTTCAAATGTGTGTTGCTCTCCATGGTACTGAAAAGGGAACCAATATTTAGTTACTAAAATTCCAGTTTATCATAGTGGTAAGGCATCGGGCAAGAAACCAAGAGACTGAAAGTTCTAATCCCATCAAAGGCACACAGCCCAGATGAGTGACCTTCTACCAGTCACTTTCCCTCAGCCCTGGGAAGGAGACAAGGGCAAACCACTTCTGCAAATCCTTGCCAAGAAAACTGTAGGGATTTGTCCAGGCAGTCTCCAAAAATAGGACAGGATGGAAGAAGAAAAAGAAAAATCCAGCAGAGTAGATTTGATGATTTCTTTCTGTTTCACAATCCTCCAACAAAGGTTGAGAGTAAAGAATATTGCAAAGTAAAAACAGATGCAATATATCACGCCAGAATTCAATTTCCTAAATAAAAGACCCTGGTGAGTCTTATAAAATGATGCCAAACTGTCGAGATAGAAAAACAAAGAAAATACAGTAATCCTCATGAAATTAATAACAGGATTCAAATCTAGCAGTGACTATTAATAAAAGTTAAGTTACAACATTTTTGAAAAGAAAAGAAATATATTTTCAAAACTTATACTGTCTCATCTAGACTAGCATGATATTTATTCATTTCAATATCAGCTTGGTTTTACCTTGTATTACCCATTTGCTTTTGATCCAAATTAAAGTATTACGAAATGAATAGTATAATCCAACACAGACAATCTCACACTGCAGTTTCATGGTAAAATATTCCAGTAGTGCACTGAAGGGGTCGCTAGATCCCCTTCTTTTCATTGTTAATAGCACCCCTCCTTCCAGTTCATTGAATTGCCTGCTAGTCTGCAGAAGTGGCCATTGCTGATACTTTCTTTTGACATTAAGAGTTCCAAATTTTAACAGTTAAAAAAAATCCCAAGGTTATTTATTTATCCCTTATTAATATGTATATTTCAGTTCAATTGCAGATATGATAAATACCTTAAAGCTATTCTGATTTGTTTTCCCATAACACAAGCTTTAACAGTCATAAATCTTAGTTATTTCCTGATAAGGAGTAGCCTTACCCATCTTGACATCAAATTCCCTCAGCAGTATCCCTGGGGGATTATGAAAACTGTAGTTGCTTACACATGAATGCTATCACATCAAAGAATTGCTTCGTAAGACCTTTGGTCTGAAACAGATGCATGAAAGGTGCAACCTATCATATTAACATCCAATTGTTATTCTCCTAGATAAATCAAATGAATCCCAGGTGGTTTAGATAAAGCAAGACACCAGAAAGAATAAGAAGGATTGGACTCTAGATTTCTTGGTGCAATTGGATCTATCCTTTTTTTTTTCATTCTACAGTCTTAAGGAGAGATAGATCGTCACACAGTTGGTGTGGTTCTATGTCATCTTAATTAATTAAAGATGAATTCCCATTACATTTAAAGTTATCTAAGACTTCCAGATACCTCCATTTCTACATTAGTAAGGACTTCACTAAGAACTACCAATGACCAGATGCTCTTTAGGTTGCATCAGCTACAGTTTATATGGTGTTTCTAGTCTTACAAAACTTAAAAGTGGTTACAAAGGTATATAAGGGACATTAAACACAGAAGTTTTGTAACAGGGATATAAATGAGAACAGAGCTTAGAAATGTGGAAAAAATATTTCCTTCCCTCACATTTCTGACAACAGCATGCAACCATACACAATATAGGTCTACATAAAATAAGCTTTCAGTAGGACTTCCTTCCACTCTAACATCAAATTACAGCTTTGGTTGTAGATTTAATTCTGGCTGTCGTTCTTCCTATGAGTTTATGTAAAATTAGTTGTGTGGATTGCTTCAATGAATGAATAATACTTGTGGGAAAGCAAACGCCTATTGGTTCTTGGTATACATTTGGAATCAACAAAAGCATCGTTTCCCCCCGAGTCTTGAAAAAGGATGTTCTGTCACCCATCAGTCAGCAGTGACTTAATTTTGATAGAGCGATCTTGTTTGCTCTTCGTGCTAAGCCTGAAGCTGCTGCTATGGAAATCGACCCGCTCTCAGTTTCAAGACTTTGGGGCTGAAACTGACGCCGATCCCACGGAAAGGAGCAATGTTGAGAAGGGCCCAGCATGGGACTTCGGGCTCCAAACAGGTGAAGAAGGGATGCAAACCTCCCTCCCCGCCACCATTCACTTGGCCCAGACTTCCGCAGACTCCCTAGTCTCAGTTTCGGCTGCGTCAGACCCAGACCGGCAGGGACCAATTCCCGCTAAAGTAGCACATTTGCTCATCGCCCAGAAAAACAACAACAACAGGTTATTTGGAAGGAAATCGCCCCAACGTGAGGCGCGTCACCACCGCCACATTTCTTTCAAAATGTAACAGGGTTTTTCCTCCCAAAGGTTGGGTTGGCAATGGCATCGGGTTGAATCCGAGAAACCGGGGGCGGCGGGTGGAGAGGGGGGGGAAGGCCGCCTTAGTTGGCGGCCGCCTTAGTTGGCGGCCTCAAGTCAAAGGAAGCTGTCTCGGTTTCTCACACTTCATCTTGGCTGCGCGTCAGAAGCTGTGCGGCAGTTCAGTGGAAGGGAAACCCATCGGCCAAAGCGAGCGCCCGCCTCTTGCTCGGTGGCGGTTTCGCCCGCTCGGATCGCCTATTGATCTCTCTCTCTCTCTCGGCCCCCCCTCCTCTCCTTTCGCTTGTCTCCTAGGTTCGCCTGGCTGGCCGACCCGCCAACAACCTCTCCGCGTTTGGATTTCTCCCGGATTCCTCTCTTCCCTCCTTCCGCTCCCGCTCGCCCGACTACCATGGATGTCCCGCCATTCCTTGCAGGCGAAGGCTGCTCCTTGGCGCAGTGAATGAAGATCATGCAGGCTTTGCTCGCGGCGTTGGGAAGCGGAGAGTCCCTTGCCTCTGTGGTGACCATGCCGTGATCGCGTCTCGGGGCCAGGCACTTTTCCTACGGCTCCTCGGCGCTTGACCTGACCGCGGGGGAAACCTGACGCTGAAGCAAAGGGAGCCGAAAGGGAAGCGGCGCGGGTGTGCGTAGGGAACACCATGAAGATTATTTCCCCGATTCTAACTCATCCAGTCTTCAGAGGCACCGCTCGGCTCCTGCTTTGCTTAATGTGGATTGGATATTCTCAAGGCACCACACATGTGTTGAGATTCGGTAAGGCGGCCGCTTTATTCTCCTCCTCGGCCCCCTTCCTCGGTTTGCCTTATGTTGTGTCCCCGGGATTTTGTCAGGGGAAGGAAAGGGAGGTCGGAGGGAAGGGGAGAGGAAGCTACTTCCGGGCTAATCGGTATGTAGACTCTTCCCGGTTGCATTTTAAGGCGCCCCTTCGGGCGTCTGACTTCGAAGCGAAGCGGCTAAACGAGCCGACGGAACCGCGAGCCAGGAGCGCCCGCCTCGCCAAGCCGGACAGGGCAGGGCAGGGCAGGGCGGGCTGGATTTCTCTTTAGCAAGGAAAAGTGGGATTTGGTGTTGGTCTTTTCCGGAGTTGCGGTAGGGTAGGCGAGCAGCTGTTATGCCTTTGTTCCGAAGTTGGCTTCTTCTGATTTGGTAGGATGAAAGTCATTGTCCGTCTCAACGAGGCAGATGCTTCAGCTTTAATACTCGCCCGGACAGAAAGGTCCCCCTTGGTTTACAAGCACTTCATCCGCGGATCAATTGTTGGCCAACAGGCAGTTCTGGGAAACTCCTGAACACTTGTACTTTCTTTCCCGCTCCATTCCGCCTCCCTCCACATTATCTGGGAAGGGTCCGTTGACGGTATACGGAGAGGGTGAAGCATGCTTACCTTGAGCCAGGCAAGGGCATGACTTAGGAGGAAGTGTGCCTGACACTACAACGGCAATCTAGACCTCCAGAAGTCAGGGGCAGAGAAGGACGGGGGATTTCTAAAGTGGGAAATAGTAGGCAAGTTCTTTAGCAATAGAGTACCTGGGCTGGAGATGTCAATACTGTGTGTCCTTAAGTAGTCACTCTAGTAGGCTGCTGAAGGTCAGTTTCTTCGAAAGAGGTGCTAGAATTGGTCGCTGGATTTTTATTTTTGTAGGCGACATCTCAGCCTTGAGCTTACATCTCTCTTTCTGTCCTGCATTCTTGAAAAATCTATCACTTCTTGATATTTCATAAACAAGATGCAGACTCAAGCTTTGAAGGCTAGAGTAAATGCATTAGGCAATATTGGGGAGGAAGGGTTCAAGGTCAGGCTTCTTGCCATCTCCGGGCAGTAAATCTATCCAATAAAAGTTTGTCTGGCAGGAAGAGAAAGTTAAGATCGAAACAGCAGTTCCTATATGAAGCCCATAGCTAAGCTGGTGTCAATTTGAATCATTCCAGATTGTTGTTATTTGAACAATGAGGAATAAGATTGGTTTAAAGTTGCGCCTAATTAAGGCATGTTTGTCTTCCGAGCTTTCTCCTGCTACTGAAACAATTCCTTCCCAATCAACATTGACAGCTCTGCTTTGTGTGTGTATTGGAGCAAAATAGATGGTTAAAAATTAAGGAGGGAACTCGCAGCTGGGATCTGGGGAGAAGTGAGGATGCTCTAGTGGTCTTTATGTGGCAAGCTCACATTATTCCTAGCTACCTTCCCCCCTTCTCCCTTCTCCCTTCTCTGCCCCCCTCCAAGCCTCTGTCCGCAATTCTTGTCGTGTTGCTGTTAGCAACCATCTTCAGGAATGCCTTCTTTTGAATGAAGCACAAGGTAGTTCTGAAATACCTGTGGGGCATGGCTGGTAGGGAACTGATCTGCAGCCTGCTGAAAGCACCAAGCAGATGAATGTTGCTTGTGACAGGAACGCTGTCACTAAGCGTGACTGAGCACTGACATCCTCTGGGCTTTGGATGTCAATATTATGCTTTCCCTGCAACTTTCACCAGAGAGGTTCTGTGGGGTTAATTAAAGCTGCCCATGTGGGCAACTTCATCCCATTAGGCTTGTTTCAAGGAATAGTTTAGTGAAATGATAATTGATCAGACAATGAAGGTTTCCCTCCCTCCTTCTCCAAGCACTGGATTAGGGGGGGGAGGGCAGGATGTCCTTCTCACTTCCCCAGACTTGTCCGGTGGAAGATTGATCTGGGTGGGTTAAATCTGTGCAACCCCAATGGGGGCAATGGATCCGAAGCTCATCCAAATTCCATTTCTTCAATTTCGTCAGAATCGGATACCATTCTCGTATCAGTTAGCTCCCCTAACTCTGTTCTGGGTAAAAGAGATATGAATAAAACAACAAGCAGAGCTTTATTCTGCCACAGAAGATAGGCAGAAAAGGCAAGAAATCTGGAGATTTCAGAGGTTTGCCTTTTCCCAGTGTAGTTTTATTGATCTGAGGCAGCACAACTGCAGATGCAAGGATGTGGAAGAGAGGGGACCCTGGTAATTGTCAGCTGTGCACATTGCCTGATTTCACCAGAGAATGTAAAAGGATTTGTTGAAGCATTGACGCATGGTGTGTGTGTGTGTGTGTGTGTGTGTGTGTTTGCATGCGTGCAGGCACCGTACGTCCTCAAACTTCAAAAGAAGCACTCCCTTGGATTGATTGTTGGAGTAGTAAACAATAGTTGTAGGGAAATGAAAATGAATGAGATCCATTCAAACGATCAGAAGTTTCACTCTGATGGAATATCTGGCTAAAGGAAGAAAGGAATCCTTTGAGCAGATAAGAGAACATGCCCAGACATTGGCTGTTTGCTCTTTCTGCTCTACTGATCTTGGTAGGTTGGAAGTATGGGTTCTCCAACCACCAGTCCCCTCCTCTTTTTATTCTGTTCCTTCTCCTCCCCGCCTCATCAAACATTCGTTAGACTGTTATCTCATCTTTTCTTCAGATGATCAAGGGACTGTATGTTGCACTCCTCCTCCCAATTTTCCCAAGAACAAGCCTAAGAAATATTGACTGGCCAAAAGTCATCCAAAGGATCTGTGTGGCTGTTGGCAGACTTGAACCTAATTCCGGGGCATCTTAATTGCTCTATCACAGTAGCTTTCCCATGCCTTCAGCCGGTATTTTTGGTCCTTGATTTAAAGTAGTGGTTCTCAACCTGTGGTTCACGGGACCTGGGGTGGGGGGGCACAGTGTCATCACAGGGGATCCATGAAGGCTTGAAGAAATGTTATGATTGAAGTCTTGAGTTAAATCTTGGTGGTCTGTGGTCCCTGGCCACAAAGGGTATTTAAAGGGGGTCTGTGGTGAAGAAAAGGGTTGAGAACCACTGATCTAAAGCCTAGTCAGCAAATAATTTTGTCCATTTCTTTCTTTTTCTCTCCAACTTCCTTCTGGGTGACTCCATTATGCGTAAATCAGCACAGCTGTTGCCTAGGCATCTCCATTAACACTTGCACACTAGTGTGCATTGGTACAGTCAACCTCAATGGAAAGTGGTGCTAGAAGAGAACTACTACGTTTGTGGTTAAAAATGAGTATTGTTTTTGTATTATTTGGCATTAGATGCATGTAATAGTAAGTGTGGTGGTTTTGCAGCCTAGAAATGGTAGCCTTACATTAGACAATAATAATTATTCCTGTGGAAGGGAGAGGGAGAGAAAGAGGGAGTGAGGAAGGGAGAGAAAAAGCCAGTGGCCATCAAGGCCAGGGAAATAAAAACCAAATGCCAATTCAGATTCTTGGCCAAGAAAACAGTTCAGCTTTTGGCTGACTATTGTTTCTCTAATTTTACTCTTTGCCACCAACAAATATGCAAATTTCCTATTTTTCTGAGGAAAAAAAAATCCCTTAAAAAAAAAAAGATTTAGAACACAATCCTGGTGGTTACATTCACATCTGAAAGGGTCATTAAAGTGAGAGAAAAGCCCAAGGAAATATTTATTGCAATGGGACAGTCCTAGGACCAGCAGAAGCAAGAGGATTGCTGTGGGAGTCTTCAGACTGGTCTCCCAGATATTTATTAAACTATCTGATGAAAGCTTTCAATCTTTAGATTCTTTCTTTAAGGGAAGGCAGCAGGCAAGCAAAAGCTAGCTCAGTACTCGTGAGGGTGTGCAGTTCAGTGGATGGGCCTTCATTTTGAAGGCAGGTTTGAGACTTCTTTCCACATCAATATTTTGTTTGAATGCAGATTTATTTTATAATTACCATGGGAAAAAGCTGAATGAATGTATGTTGTGGTATCATTTCAGAACCTGATACAGTACATGTTCTTTTGAGGTTCCACCCCCCCATAAAAAATATAATATATTTATGTATTTGTTTAATTTTTATTTTTTTATTTATTTGATTTGTCAATTGCTTACAAGTTAATAGGAATAAGTATAAACATGACTAACAATACAGGAAATAGGTACGAATAAGTGAGGACAATAGGACAGGGATGGTAGGCACGATTGTGCATTTATGCACGCCCCGTACAGACCTCTTAGGATTCGAGTGAGGTCAATAGTGGATAGTTTAAGGTTAAAGGAGTGGGGGTTTGAGGATGTAACAAAAGAGTCAGGTAGTGCATTCCAGGCATTGACCACTCTGTTGCTGAAGTAGTTACTTTCTGCAATCAAGTTTGGAGCGGTTTACATTGAGTTTGTATCTATTGTGTGCTCTTGTATTGTTGCTCATCTCATTGGACTCTGGGAAGCTTTTCTCTTTCTTCTTCTATGGAATTGTGTCTGCAACCCTGAGATCTTGTGGGATTCTCAGAGACTGCTTGGACAGGTTCCGGCAGTTTTCTTGGCAAGGCTTTTCAAAAGTGGTTTGGTATTCTAGGGCTGAAAGAAAGTGGTTAGCCCAAAATCACCCAGCTGGCTTTGTGCCAAGGTGGGAAGAACTCCTGGCCTCCAAGTTTCTAGCCTGATGCCTTAACCGCTATACCATGACTCTGCCAACTTACAGAATTAAAACAAAAAACAAAAAATAACAACAACACAAGGACAACCACCCAAATAAATAAATAACAATAAAATTAACCATAAAAATATAAACTATGGTAGATTATTCTGATCCGATGGAAGGCTTATTCCATTGTTTTTGCATTTTCCTCTGTATATTTGCACATCCCTTTCTAAGCATCGATATGCACAATTCAGATTCCTGCATTGATGACTTTCATGTTTTCAATATTGAGGCTTTTTGCTATCCTTTTTTTAAAAACTGGCAACATTTCCCTTTTTGAAATCGGTTTTATGCCAATCCTATCTGTATAGGATAG